TTAGAAATATACAGAAGATAATCCCATAGCTTCTATACTTTTTAAGTTTTAAGTTCTTTTTCACTTGTAAAAATTAATATTCAGTAATAAAGTTTTTTGTATTCTTTTGAAGTGTTAAGATCGTCATGATCCTGCTTGCTAATGAAAAAAAAAATCTTTGCAAGAACAGATAAAGATGAAGTATCTAATTTTGTTATTATTCTTTGAGTTAGATGACTTTTACTTATAAGGTCTTATTTTATTTTATTTAGTCCAAGAACTACAGATATTTAGGGGTTTTTTGTTTGTTTTATTTTAGAGTTGCAGGGTACACGTGAGGATTTACCACACATGTAAGTCACATGCACGTGAAGTTTGGGATTCTAATGTGACCTCTGTCCCCCTGATAATGGACGTGGTACCCATTGTGTCACCATGTGCTCCCTCATCCTTCTTCCCTCACTCTGTTTCCTAGCAGTGAACAGTGTCTGCTGTTGACACCCTTATGCTAAGTGACCCGTGATCAGAGTCCGCTTAGAGTAGTGACAACATGCAGTTTTAGTTCTTTGTTTCTGTGACGGTTCACCTAGTATGATGATCTCCAGCTACATCCATGATGCTACAAAGGACATTATTTTGTTCTTCATTATGGCTGCATAATATTCCATTGTGTATCTATATGTACCATATTTTCTTTATCCAGTCCACTTTCAATGGGTATCTGAGTTAGTTCTACATTTTTGCTATTGTGAATAGTGCTGCAATGAATATACGTGTGCAGGTGTCTTTTTGCTAAAGCAATTTATGTTTCTCTGGGTATATTCCCAGAAGAGGGATTGCTGGATTGTACAGAAGCTAAATTTTTAGTTCTTTGAGAAAATGCCACACTGCTTTTCACAAAGGTTGAACTAGCTTACATTCTCACCAACAGTGTAGAAACATTCCTATTTATAAAGTTTTAAAAAGAGAACCTCAAAATAGTCATGCTGAATTTCATAATAATTCTCCACTTGTTAGTTTGTTCTTGTAGTATTCCTGCTACAAAATTTTTCATTGATTTTATTTTAGATTTTGCTGGATATTTGAGTGTTAAAAAAATATTCCCAAACTACTGAAAGTAAGTTTCTTCCTGATGTCTCTAAGACCTTAAACCTTCCCCCCACACAACCTATCAAAACTCCTGTGCAAGGAGAAATGGTTAAGATATAACTGGCAACAAACAAAAAGTACCTTCTTTTAGAATTGCAAGTGAGTTAAAAAAGAATGTTAACATTTGTTATGATTTTTGTCTAAAAGCAAGGCAGAGAGTTTTAAGTAATTTTATGGGTTGGAGGTTACTTATAAAAATTCAAAACAAAATAACCATAAAAATAAATGCTTCTTCCATGGTAATATAAAAGAATAACAATAGAAAAACAGAGAGGGTAACTCTGAGAATAAACTTCTAAAATCTGTTCATTAATAAAGTAAGCAAAACAAAAATTTACACGTCCCTAGTATTAGTTATCCTGACGTATTGAATTCCATCAATGTAGAATTCATAATAGCAAAGTTTTTGTAATGGTTAATTTTTTTCATAATATATATGTGTTTGAATAACAGGAGAGGCAGTTCATTGTTTTGAGCTCAAAGAGACCAAAGGAAGTGTTGTGCTTTTACTTTGTCTTTGGCATTAGGTACTGAATGAACTTTTTTTTTTTTTACTTTTAGAAAGAATTAAGAACATAAATAAAAATAATAAATAAAGGAAATAATTAATGGCATATATTCCGTGTGTAGTATGTGCCATAGTTAATGTTAGTTTTTTAATGAATTTTACTAGTCTTAAGAGAAAAAAATGAGTGGAATATTTTATTTCACTTAAGGATAATTAGTATCAAAACTCAGTAACATTAAGTAACCTGTCATAAGTTACTCAGTTAATCAGATATGAGTGAGGTTGCAAAACTATGTTCTTTTTTTGTCAACAGTTTAATTTTCTCCATTTTAATTTGTTTAATTATGAAGATAAAGCATACAGTCTATGCAGAAAAATGTGAAGTAAAAAGTTAAAATCCTTTTTCCAATTCTATCTTCTTTCCAGATTTATTCTAGATAGATTTATACACATTTCTAACAGACTATATAGTATTTAAAAATATATATGAATATTGTAGATACCGTATATTAAAAAGTTCATTTTGTTTCATAACTGAGATCACTGAAAGTCAGTTAAAATATGATTTTTTTTCTCTTTTGAATTTCAATGACAGTACACATAGACCTCTCTCAGTCATTTTGGTGATATATAGCACTCTAATACCATATGTACACCATGATTCATTTATTACCCTCTTGTTAAATATTTAGTTGTTTTCACTGTAACAAAAAATGACTCCAAAATCATTCTTGTCCATATGTATTTGTGCATATTATGAAGTATTTATGTAGAAGAAAAAAATCGTGGCTTTAATTTCTAGCTTGTCATTAAGTTGGTTATTAAGATATAGGAATCAACATAGGGGTAGGTTTTTTGCTTATAGTTTATTTGTTCACTTTATTAATACTTAAGACTGATGTCTTTATATACTTTTGATTACATGACAATGACAGCTAAGCATTTTTTGGCAATGTCTACAGAGATCTAAGATACAAATCCATTGTCCTGATCATACAGTTCTTCATCTATTTAACTGTCTTGTATTCATTAGTCACCTACCATATCCCAAGTTCTATCCTAGGTGCAGACAAGAGTAAGATACAACACTGCTGACAAGCAATTTATGGTAGAGTGGGATAACTTATTCCTGGGTATTTGAAAACTTGAGGATGAATAATGTAATTTTTAACATGGCACCTTAATGAATCTATGTGGATAATTTATTTGGGATACCTCTCTCCCTCATTTTAATCTGCATTAGAATCAGAATGACTTCATAAATAGTGTTTCTCTTTTTGAATTCTGTAAGAAGTCATCATGGAGCATATGGTAGTTTTTTTTTTTTTTCATAAGCTGCTGAAACAAATTATGGCAGACATTTCTAAATGTCCATCTAACATACATGATGAACTGTGAGGAGAAGTCATATGTGAGTATGAATTTCAACATTCAGTGTCTTTATGCACTAAGAGTGCCCAAGTAACACCATTCTGGCCAAAGAGACATAACTGAGGTATGTTGAGCCGTTAGAAAGGTTTTAGATTTTCCGGATAAAAGGGCAGACATGGCTATCGCAGTTCTTCTCTGCCCTTACATCCTCACATTTTCCTGCCTTGAATGTGGATATAATATCTGGAGTTTCAGCAGCTTTTTCCTGATTACCTCATGATAAAAGTTAATTCTAGGAACTAAAGAATAGAAAAATATAAAGCGTCTAGTTTCCTAATGGAATCACTAATAAATACATGTCAACAATTGACTACCTTCAAACTTCTTCTTTTTTTTTTTTTTTTTTTTGAGTTGGAGTCTCACTCTGTCATCCAGACTGGAGTGCAGTGGCCGCTTCCGGCCACCGCAGCCTCGGCCTGCTGGGCTCCAGCGATCCTTCTGCCTCAGCCTTCCGAGTAGCCGGAATTACAGGCATGCGCCACCACACCCAGCTGATTTTTTGATTTATTGTAGAGATGAGGTCTCACTGCCCAGGCGGGTCTCGAACCCACGGGCTCAGGCAATTCACTCACCTCAGCCTCCCAAAGGCGCGGGATTACAGGGTGAGCCACCGAGCCCGGCTCCAAACTTCTTCTTATGTGAAAAGATTAAACCTCCTTACATTTGGTTCTCTGATAGTCAACCATTTTGACATTTCCCACTCAGTTTATTAGGGCTCCGTTGGCTTTTGGCAGTAGAAGCCTTTTATAGTCCTCATGAGTCAATGTAACATAAGCTGGACCATTTCTGAATTCTTTGTCATTATCCTGCCTATGTTGTTTCTATCTAAGGTCATTTTTCCACGCTGTAATTTAACAATTTGGTTAAAACATTTTCTTGCTTTAATTGACAACCTGGAACACTAATTCTGATTTTTCATAATTAAGCTTTTATTTTTAAAGGGGGAAACTTTCTTTTAATGTTCTTGATTGAGTAGGATAGGTCCTGTTTGAAATATGGTACCAAAACTCAACAGAGCTCACTTTCTTCTTGTTGTACAGTAGCAGACTCAACATGCATTTCTGTATAGAATCTTGATACATTCAGCTGCATCACAAATATAACCATAATGTTGTGCTGGATAGAATCTTTTGCAACCTCAGTTCACTCTAACTCAAAAATACTACCACTAGATAAAGAACTCACTGTTGTGTTTTCCCTCAACTTCTATACACAACTTCTCTACATAGGAGCAGTTACCTGAAACTCTGTTTTGTAGATGCAGTTCCCAGGAGTTCCAAATTTTACCATTCAAAGTGTCTATGGCAGTAGGAGCACTGTAGCCTGAAACTCATAGCCAGACAGCCTCCACATGGGCCACCTTGCAAAGCAACTTTCTAATGCTTAAGGGGAGCACAAGAATTCATGGTATGCTCTGATAAGCCTCTGGAAATTAATTGGACTGTCACACACAAAAAAGCTGTCCTAGATTTTAGTCAGCCTTCAGCACTGACCCAAGCACTTTAAAATTTTATTACACCTCAAAACTCCTAACAAACATGATATACATAAAAATTTGCAAAAGAAATGTGGAATAGCCACTATTGGGAAAATACCAGAGTTTTTGAGGATTTATTTTATATTTTCAGCTAATAACAGAATAAAACATGGTTATCATTTGCTTATACATAATACAATTAGATAAGTTTAAAATACTTGGATATTCTCATTAACTGTAGGCATGTTGAAGGTGTTTCCTTTTTACGTAGTTTTGCAATGCTCTTTTAAGGTACTTGGGACAATAGCCAAATTAGTTCTTGATTTGAACGACCACTTATTTACTAAACTAAAAGTTTACTGTCATTAGCATGTGAGCCATGGTCTATAATGGTAGTTTTAAAAACAATATTTTTCATCTAAAATGTGAAGTTAATAAAAAAAAAGGAAAGTTTACCTGATTTCCTCCCATACCGTGACAGTTGAATATACCCACTTTTTCATTTTCCTTGCGGCCCATGTTGTCTAAACATTGATTGGTTTCAACATTTCTTATCTAAATGAAACACACACAAAGAGGGAGGGTAAAATATAAATCAGAGTTATTTAAGTCACTCAATATTCCTGATGTTATTAAATTGTATATTATTAACTAAATAATACAAATTTGTAAAAAAAAATCTCCAAAAAGAACACAAGGCTTTAAATATTTTCTCTTTTTCTATGTTTATTCTTACACCTATGTAAGCTTCTAAACTACTAAAGCTTTTGAACAACATTAACACTGACATTAGCATCTAATCAAGAGGCACTGCTTGTTTAAAGCATATAATTGAAGAAGAAGAAAACAAATACATATTATGAACTAGCACTTTTTCCCCAAACCTTTAACAATTAGGACAGTTTTCACATTACACTCAGATAACCACAGTCTATTCTTTAAACTCCTATAGTACTGTATGCAAGGGAAAAATAATGAAATATTCAAATTTAGGTTTTTTTAGATTGCTTCGTTGCTAGATGCTCCATTCCATGCATTAATAAAGATTACTTGTATTGCTTATTTCTGTAACTAAAATGTATTCATTCATTTTATTTCATTCCTAATGTCACACTTATTCAGAAGTGCCTGACCCTAAGAAAAGCTATTACAGGCTAAATGGTGATTTCACATTATACATTCCTCAAAAGCAAGATTAAATTGCAAACTTCAGACATAAGTTCTTGGTTTATATTCAAACTCTGCATTAGTCCCATAATTAACATAAAGTTAATATATGTTTGAGCCAAGTGTAGTTGCAAAACCATGTATTGATTTTAGAGATGCTAAAATGACAAATGAAGCAATCAAGCACAAATAAATATAAAAAAGAGAAAAACTCTTATAATAAATGGAATATTTCAGATTTTTCCTTATTTTCAATCCTAAGTATGTCTTTATACTTTTCTGTCCTGTCTCTGAAAAGTTTGTATCTCTGACCCATATTAGGACATTTATATGTTACATTCAGAAAATTCTTGGATATATCTACTAGTTATTTTTTGTGTACATGTTTATTCTCATTGGCAAATGAATAAGACCAGAAACTTATTTTATAGACATACAAAAATATAGAAGATTGATTAGGTTTATACAATTCACTTTTTCTTCAGAGAAGAACCTCTTGTTCAAATACTGGTACCTGGAGCTAGAGAAAGTGTTATGATTTGCATTAAGTCCTCTATCAGCAACTGAGAATAGGGATCAGAATTCATACTTGGTAAGGGTTGAAAAGAGCTAGGCAGAGTGGTCAAGCTTTATTTCCGCTGGACTGAGATTTAGAGCAGAGTTATAGATGCTTTTATCAAAAAAATCTTAACAAAAACGCATTAGAAAGGACAGAACAAACACTGAATATTACAGGGAAATGATATTGACTGCTAGAAGCAAAACCCATTCTGGTACATATAGGGCTGAAATTTATTTTTATTTATCTGATTAGGTTGATCTAGGAGGAAACTGAACCTATTGGCAAAAGAGTTTTTCAGGACCTGTGGATGAACAGGATCGAGCAATGTAACAACTGATAAAAGATGCAATACATAAGTCTGTGTATGTTGCACATTGCTAATTTACTTTCTAAATAGACAAAATTACATAACACATAAAATGAATTTTAAATCTCTTACATCAGATTTTTCCTAACTTTTTATAGAAGGCAGACTTCTTGAAAAACAAAAAAATTATACACTATTACTGGTATTTATCATCCTAAAAAAGTATAAAACTATGTAATTCCGTAATACCTAGAGGAATATCTCACAAAAGATTAATTCATCTTTAAATGTAAGCTATGCAATTTGATTAAAAAAATTTCTGCTAAGTTCATGGTAGTCGAATAAATATTAGTTAACAATTACAAGGGTTATAGACTGAATTATTTGTGAGGTTTTGCTTCTTAGCTGAACAACGGAAAACTCAAAGTCATATTCAGCCCAGTACATAATCTGACTGTGGCATTTTAAAGGAACATTTGGTAGATGCATTTCATCCTACCCTTTGGTAAATTAAGGACAAAATTTAAGAATGTCTCCAAAATATTTTGCCCTCAGTAACAACCTATTATTACTCCATTTTATATAATAGGTACATTTTACTGTTTGGTCTTTAATGTTTCTTATGAATTCATTCATTTAATCAAGAATTATCAGAAAAAAGTATCCCTCATGCCAAGCACTATTTGAGGTGTTGAGGAAACAGAAGTAAATAAAATAAACATAGTCCCTTCCTTCATGGAGCTTACATTTCAGAAGGGAAGAAAGCAATAAACAAATAGGTTTATAATATGTCAGCAGATCAAGAAATCCTATAAATAAATATAAAGCACAGTAAGGATATATAAAGTGATGAAGGGGAACTATTTTAGAAAGGGGGCTGAAAAACGTCATTCTGAGGAAAGATACTTGAAAAGACAGCTTAAAGAAGAGGGAGTGGCCATATTTACATCTATGGAGGAACACATTAGGCAGAGTGACAGTAAGTGGATGCTCCTTGTAGCTGGACAATAATAATGAGTGAAATAGGCCATTGCTTTGCTAAACTCTGGTGTGTTCACGTGACTTTCCCACCACTACGTTTCTAAGCTTTGGCCCCCTCCCTTATCTTGGGGAGGTGAATATCTCTAATTTACTTTCTAAATAGACGATATTTTCCAATCTTAAAAAAAAAAATGAGTGAAATAACAGGCTAGAATTGTGGCCAGAATTGTGGTGAGCACGGGGCCAGGTTAGAGAGGTATCCAAGACTAAGTAGTATAAGGAATCATAAGTTTTTGAGCATTAGCATGGCACAATAGTTTGAGTGGCTTATTCTGGCTGCTGTGTGGAGAAAAGACTAGAAACAGGGAAACAAGGAAGGAGCCTACTGCCATCTTGCCAGGAAGGAAAGATGGTTGCTTAAGATAAAAGAATAACAACGGGGATGGAGAGGTCAAATCTGGGATATATTTTTAAGGAAGAGCCAGTAGGCCTTTCAGTTGAATTGGATATAAGCTATGACAGAATACAGACATAAAGAATCATACCAATGTTTAGAACTAAGGAAATGGACAAATGCTACTTATTTACTGGGAACAATATTCTGATTTCTTATATATTGATAAGTATATCTTATATATCAATAACTGTATCAAGTATAAAGTGACCTTTAGATTTGAAAATCAGTTTGGTAGTTCTGAAATCCTTGACTCACAAAATATTCCCTTGAGTATCTTTAAAATGTTACTCCATTTACTTCCAGAATAAAGGGTTGCTTTTGAAAAGTCTAACGGTAATTTATTTTCTCCATTTAATTCTTACAAATATTTATTTACCCAAAAGGTAAACTGACTTTTTTTTCTTTTCTTTAAAGTCTGATAGATTTGACACAATATATCTTCATATTGCTCCAAATGGATCACTCTTCCAGGTATACTATGTTCCTTTTCAACATATAGTTTCAATTTTATTTTCAGGAACATTTCCTGAAATTATAGTTACTAATGTTCATTTTGTTTCACTGCTTTGATTTTTCTCTTTAGGAAATCCTATTATTTTTGGTCTTGTTGCTTATATGTCTATATATGTTACTTTCTTTTTTTTTTTTTTGAGTTGGAGTC